CCAAAGACACTCGTGTGTTAGCAAACCATACTAATACATGCAAATGTGTACGCCTAATGGAAAGTAATTACACGTACAGGTCGCAATTATTTCACATTCTTACACAAGGTACATTGGTCTATGGATGGTATTCCATGTGCGACGGACATGAATTAAGTGGTGAAACACGCATCTTTTCCTTACAATTTTTGATATGATTCTATACAATTATGATCTTCGTCACTTAAATTTAATTTTTCATGAAAACAACCTTTTTTTTGTTGTTGTTTAAATCACGAGATGTGTTAAATGATAAAGATATTATGGGTATTTTTTTATGTCAGAGTGGCCTTATTAGATTTTAAATTAGTTGTAATGATTCAAAATTCAATGATTTCATTAACTGTCAAACGTTTCTATTATTTTATCTGACTATATGCATTCACAGATCACATTAGTCAAATATGTAAAACATTTGTAGGAAAGTTCTATTGAAGTAGAATATTTGAAATTCCTCCAGAATTTGTGAATTGGAAAAAAGTTACAAGAGCACAAAACCTGTATATGTCATATATATATCAGAAGTTAAATAAATACTGTAAAATATATCTTACATCGGGATCAGGTACTGTGTCATCTTCTCGTTTCTGGAAGCTTTTACCGTCTACATCATTGCCCAAGATGGTTATAATAGTGAACACAACCAAAACCACAATATATTTCGTCATGGTACACTTAGGAGAGAAGAACACTGAACGGTGTGTGCAGTGGCTGGTTGATGTTGAGTGAATGTCTGATATATCGCGATGTTTCAGTTTTAAGGTTCATTGTTGATGACCACTACATCGACATCTGCTGTCGGATTAATATATGGAAACAATAAAGATTTAGGTCTGAAAGCCTCGGAATCCACATGTGTTATGACATTTTACTCTAATGAGACACGATTATTTGATATCAAAATACAATACGTGTGAATGTTAATGGGTACGTGTAATCCTGCGGATTCGTGGCATTATCGGTGATACAGCGGTATAATAGTATAATCTTATAATAGTTAACTATTTCAGAACAATTTAAATAACGATGTCGTTCTTTTGTTTTAAAAGTGTTAAATAAATGTTAATTTAGACACAAGTCGATAACTTTGTGTTACCCAGTATAAAATAGATTTTAGAAATGAACATAAAAACGGGCCGTTTGGAGAATCTTCATAAGAATTTATGGTAAATTATTGTTTATAAAAATGTTATTTCTCAAAAAAAACATCACCAGCACCCATGAGTACCCATCTTAATAACTGTATGTGACTTGTCCAAGACATGAACCAAAAAAACTAATGGCAAATGACAAAAAAAATTTGCAAAAATTACAGAAGATTCATCCTAATTCTGGATCCATGCATTATTCTTTTACTCATTTGTACATGTGTTGTCACATTGTCTATGTGAACTTGAATTTTCCGTATGCAACGTTTGCCTGATCAGCTATTGTCGGGGATAATATTTCCACTTTAATAAACCCAAAGTCACGATGACCTTTGAATTGACTTACCACTAATGGTATGGACTACCCAACACACAACTGACTAATCCGATCTACAAACTATAAATCAAGGCGATGAAATAGAAAATAATACCCTGAATCTATGTTTAATACGATTCCGTCTGTACAGAATATGATGTGTGCTTACAAAATATTTATAACGTCCATACAAAAAAAAACCAATGGCGGCGTTCTAGCTGTATTAAAAGTCTGATGTGAGAGCAGAAGACATGTTAACATATTTCATTTCTATGTAATATGGACGATGGGTTTCTATCAATGGTTCAGATAAATAGAGCGAGTGTACAAACTGTGTGTTAATTGCATATATAAAGATGGGTCACGTTCCTATTCTAAAACCTTTTAACCCGCGCACATCTGTTGTCATATTGTCAGTTGAATTGAACATTAGAAGCTGTCCAGCTGTACACGCTAATTGTTAATGGTCAATGTGTTTAAGTAGTGTGTCGACACCCGGTAACATGTGTCAATGAACGAAAACAATAACGAACATAAAAGGTATATAATCCTAATATGTAACACAAGTAAATGATGAAAATTGCTCAGAACATTAGATCAGATGAGTGCTGTCTGTGTCACCGTATTCTAAGAGTTCTTGGTCTTTCTGTTTTGGGGTGAGCACCAATGACAAATTCAATAACGTTTATAGTATATCTTCCATCCTTGATTGAGTTGAGTGAATTCATAATGTTTGTTGCTTTCATTTGTTGTCGCGATTACTCGTAAATCTACCACAGTTCAAGATGCCTATAAGAAGAGTTTTGCAATCAAATAACAAAACTATGACATTGTATAAGAGTACATAATTATATAATCCACTCTGTGTTATTGTTAATTATTTCTATTTCTATGTCGGTCGTTTCTCATTATCTAATATACACGTTTTTCGCGCTTGTCGCCGTGTGTATGAGCTTTTTGACTACTCGTGAATTTTTTGTCCGTCTAAGGAGGCGTTGAGTATATTTTCCAGTAGGCAAAACATTTTCCTCTGGCATTCTCATGGTCATCGTACGAAATGCACAGTTTCGCTAAAGCTGGCCATTCATAACCGGCCAATGAACCCGTGCGTGATCGTGTTAGGAAAAGCTGTATTCACTGCAATTGAGTTGAATTGAGTCATTTTATTGGGCGCGCCAAGGAGCTGGCGCTACAAATCAGCATTGCTGTATCATAAATGTGAAGTTCCGGTTGGGCATCACAGATTAAAACAATGTGAGTGTGTAGGCTTTGCGCTGATTCACCGGGAGTCAAGAACACGTTGACACGTTTCCAAAATTCCTTATTCCAATGTTGAAAATTGTTTGTGGACAATTGAATGAAGACGATGGTATGTTTAAATATTTATGCAAACCGTGTTTTAGTGGACTGACTAAACTGTCGAAACAGATAACATATCGAATTGTCCGATCCGGTCTTCGTTGCAACAAACACATCATTTCCCTAAGTTCTTTTTTTTTGATGGTCATTATGCTCGTTTACAGGGAAAAAGCTAGTAACAGGTTGATTTCTATATTCAACTATTTAAATTTGACCATGGAGCTAGCTCCATGATTTTACCAAGTAATGTGTAGCTTCTATCGTTAGTCTGATTGGGTAATGCAAATGAGCCCAATTAAATCTCAAATGAATTGAGGGCGTGCGACATACAGTACATCGTGGTGAAATCCGCCAAGGGTTAATGTTGAGGCTTCGGCCGAATAAATGGTCCTTGGCTTGCGAAGATGTTTCATGGTACGACTGTGAAACAGCATTATCAAAACGCATTGCTGATGTCATGAGTGTGTACTCGAGTTAGATTACAATTAAATCGACGAAACCCACTCATGGCGTAAAAGTTCATTAAAGTGCATGGAAGGCTCATTCTGCAGAGTACATCATACGTCATATCAAATTTACTAACATATACACTTAGGTTTATTATTTTTCAAAACATAATCACGTTTATAAATTAACAAGTATGAACGATACACAGTCCCTTTTTTTTACCGCTAGTCGACATCTGTATTCAATAAGTCACATGTCTACCACCAAAGGCTCCCCCGTATGTATGATCCTCGTAAAACTGCCTATCTATTTGCGAGAGATTTTGTAAAAGATTTTTGACAAAATACATTTATTTGATAATCAAGCCGTAATAACTAACTATTTTATAACCTACGAGTATATTACTTGATGTGAAAACATTCAATTGAATCATCAGTGAGGAATCGGCATAAAAACAAAACAGCCGTCAATCAATTATTGCTAGTATTTCGAAGAATGTATGACGTACAACTGAAAGCAAATATGCATGACTTTCATACAAAGTTTGAATGCAATCACCCTGTTCATCTCTCGAGCACGTTTAAAAATCGGAATTTAGCACATTTTATGACTTTAAAAAATGCCAGCGCGTCAGCCATATTTCATCAAATGGAAAAGGAAATCGACGTACATGATTTTTTCTAATAAAGCGGAATGCGATGGTCAAATGACTGATAAATGGCTTCGTACGCACGCATTGTCCTTGATTTTGAACTTCCTAAAATTGAGCATTCCACACCTTTTCAAAATGTTACGTCCGAAGTTGAAAATCTTAAAAATAATCTGTAAAAAAATTGAAAATGTTCGAGCTTGTTGCTCACGGTAACGAGAAACAAAGTCTCGTAGACACAAAGTCAATGAAATTTTTCTACTGATGTTAATTGTACGATTTATCTCTGTGACTGGTTCTGTCCAGCTTAGCAATTTTTAAGTTTAACTCTGTTTTGATTTTAGTAACCCTCATGTAGGGAAGCTGCCTTGTACAGGTGTCTCACCTGATGTACCTTCTAATCCATACATCGGATATCAGTACATGGGAATGGAAGGAAAAGAACACTAATCATTACCAAATAAAATCGATTTTTCACAAATGAAAATTTTAACATGATTTAAAGACAAAATTACTTGAAGCTTCAAAATGAAAACACCAGAGGCCGCTAATAACCGTTTATGGTGTTATTCTAAAAAATAAATTGTCAAACAATTGAGGGCTTAGTAATAAACAAAGGATATACAATTTACATATTGAGGGCGC